CTTTTTTTGAAGTGAATTAAAGGAGCCACAAATACGCTTTATTTGCTTCAAAACAAGTAGGCTCAGTCAACGGCAATATGGATTATCAATATTAGGGGATCTTTCAATTGAGAAGATCCCCTAATATCGACTTGAGACGACGAGAAAGAAAGTATCTGTTTTATTTCATTATTCAGTTAAACCAATTGTTCGTTATTGGAACAGATAGTCACAACCATCTCGTCTGGGAAAAGCCATTTTTTTCTCAACAATGTCTTTGTGAGTTGAGCCAATAGGGTTCCGTTAGATAGGAACATATTTGATAAATATTGATAACTCTCGTATAGAGGATTAGAACGAAAAAATTCATTTGATACTGAACTATTGGTTCTAAACCATCTCTGGCGATCAATCAACAATTTGAAATTATGTTCTTGCATATTCTTCCTAAACCAGGGTTTATTTAGATATTTCCAATGAATTTTTTGGGTTTGGGAAGTCAAAAGTATCCTTGACATCTCTCCATCTGGAGAAAATTCTTGATGTGAAAATACAGATCCAAAAGGATCTTCTTGGAATAGCAAAAACAGTGGATCTGCGGGGTCCCAAATGAATTGGCTTATTCGAAAAAAGCCCTGTTCGTTGGAAAATCTCGCTCGTGTCTGGTCCTGCATGATTCCATCATGCAAGAACTGCGAATCATTATCATTCTCTTGAAGCTTACCCTCTTCATCATAATCATCAAGGATCGGTTTGTCCTGAAATGACCCTTCCCAATAGGGAAATCTCAATTCATTGGACCCTTCGTCAAAGAGAAAGCCCCAAGGGCGCCACAGTCTCGGAGCCCAAAGTATGTGATTGAATAAATCCTCCTCTAGCGGTTGCGGGTCGAAGACTCCTTCCCCTTCTTCGAACCCCGATTCATATTTTTCATAGAGAAATATCTGATCAACGATAGAAGAAGATCCATTTTGAATCATATTTAAGGGATTTCTTGGTTCGGACCGAAGAAGCAATGTCACGCCATCATTATCAAACTGACTTCCTGTCTGTGAGGGTTCCAGCAGAGCACCTTCTATTTCTAATAGCCCATGAACTAGATCAGAATCATTCTCAAGGAGTCTATAAGAAGTGATCCCATCATTTGTTTCATTAGGTCCGGGTAGAGACCAAAGATCTTGAGCGACCGATCCAACGTATACCTTTTCAGTAAAAAAAAAAGTAAAAATTTCGGGACAAATAGCAACTGTTAAATACAAATTCCGAAAGAATTCAGGAATCTGAATTTCTTAATGAGAAAAAAATCGAAATTGATACATAACAAATCAATATATATATATATATATATATATATATATATATATATATATATATATATATATATATATATATATATATATATATATATATATATATATATATATATATATATATATATATATGATCCTTATCTATTTCCATTATAACAGGAACGTTAATATATGTCAACCCCATAATATCACTTTTCATTGTTACACATTATATAATTGGGTATTTTCTATGTAATTATGGATTACAGAGAATTTTCAATAAATTCTCGTACTTTCATTTTTTTTGCCAATTTTTCATGAAATAGATTGATGAATGAATAGAAAAAAAATGAACACAACATATTATGTCCCGAACAAATAGGACTGCAATAACGTAATAGACATATATAGATAGCTATAGCTGAAGTTAGATCTATGCATGTTTCATAAATCCAAGTCTTTTTATGCACTACAATCCTCTCATTCTAAAAAAAAAGGGTCAAAATATCTCTCTTCTTTGTTAATTTTCATTCTTTTTTGAACACTTGAAATGGTAAAGGGCTCAAAAAACTTGTATATTTTTTCTGATTATTTTCTTTTTAAAATCTTTCTCTCATGGAGCCAATCAAATCCTGAATTGATTTTTGGGGTATCAATCGAATTGGAATATGTAATATCATACTCTACTAAAAGTCTATTTGTTTGTTTTGTTGCAAATTCTAATTTGAGTAGCAAAATTCCTCTTTTCATAATGCGTATTTCATAGACGTAGTGAGGTAAAATTTCATGTGATGTAAGCGTCTGGGTATGAGTTAAAACTAAGCGGTGAAGAATTTCATGTGATGCAGACGGATAAACTATTCATACCAAAGGGGTTATATCCATTGATAAGTTGTGAAGAATTTAACCATAGATAATCTCTTAACCATCCCATCAAATAGGTTGAAGATTCATTAAATTGTGAAACATTACCCTGCCATAATGTAATGTGCTTCCAATGCCAATAAAAAGTAACCCATCCAATGGTATTTAACATCCAGAAAATAGCCAAATAAAATGCGTCCCAAGCAGAAATATCACAAGTACCACCTCGTCCCGGACCATCGCAAGGAAAACTATAACCAAAATCCTTTTTATCCGGCATTACCCTAGGAGAGCCACCGACTCCAACTACCGTCCATGTATGATCCATACTAGATCTGACCAACTTCCCATCCTACCTCCTCTACGTTTTTGACAGCCCATCTTTGTCTCAGTAGAGTCTTTCAGTGGCATGTTTCGGTCCTCTTTCCCATTACTTAGAAAAAGTTAGCCACCGGTTCAGGTACAAGATACTATCATTACCGCCTGGACAATTAGACATCCAACCCGTAATCGCAACGACCCCATTGCAAGAGCGGAGCTCTACCAACTGAGCTATATCCCCTCGAGCCAAGTTGGAGCATGCATAAAGGAGTCAAATCCGTCTTTCTTTTATTCTTTTCCTTGGCGCAGCTGGGCCATCCTGGACTTGAACCAGAGACCTCGCCCGTGAAGTAAATCATCGCACCTATGGTCCATCCAATTGGGAGAGAATTAATAGATTCCTTTTCGGGAGCGATTCATCCTTTCCGAACGCAACATACAACTATCCATTGTACATTCGACTGCTTCGCCTAGCAGCACGATGCTTGTATTGCTCTCCCACAACCCCGTTTTCACAGTTTAGGCTGCTCCCACTTAATAATAATGATTGGTCCAAAATACAAGGTTCCCTCTTCTATACCGTAGAGTTAAAACTAAAAAGTATTTGTTGCTTTCTCGATGTTTTCTGACGTTTTCAACAAAACCCTCTCATAAAAGAATTTTTACAATGTTTTCGGTGATATTAGTAAGTGGTATTTTAACAGTTCTTTTTCTATTCATGTCAGCATTGCGTATCAAGGTTAGTATATCAGCGATAGTATCTTTACCCACGATAGATTTTTGCTCCTTACTTTCGATATAATCAACGTGCTCCCGTTTTTAGATTTTTTATTTTTTGATTCAATCAAATCTCTCATATTGAATATGAGAATAGAATAATACTCTATATGTATAGAAAATTTGATTGTAATTAGGATAATCTAAATATCCGAATATAGAATATTCTAAAACTAAAAAAAGATAGAAATAAAATGAACGAATGACCTATTCGAAACTATATAAATAATCTTATATTGAATTCGAATTCTATTTTTTTATACAAATAGAATTCGAATTTTTATTTTGAATATATTGACTTGAATATAGAATATATATTTCATTCGTATTCTAATCTATTTCCTATTCATTCAAGTCATAAATAATATATCTATATCATGATCTCTTATTATAATACCTCAGGTGCTAATGAAACTATTTTAGTGAAATTTAACTGTCTCAATTCTCGGGCTATTGCGGAAAAAAATCGAGTTCCTTTTGGATTTCCTTCTTTATCAATGAGAACCGCCACATTATCATCATACTTTATTATTATACCATTGCGACGTTTTAGTTCTTTACAAGTACGTACAATTACAACTCTGATGACTTGAGATCTTTTTAAAGATGAATTTGGCACTGCTTTTTTGATTACAGCAACAACAATGTCACCAATATAAGCATACCTTCGATTACTAGCTCCTATGATTCGAATACACATCAATTCGCGCGCTCCACTATTATCGACTACATTTAAATAGGTTTGAGGTTGAATCATATCCTTTTTTCTTATCTTTCAGTTTCAGTCAAAAAGTTGAAGTAAAAAAAATATTTTGTGTTAAAAAAAACCCGGAGAATTGCCTTTTTTCATACTAAAGATCTCTTTCGTTCTAATGATTATTCGGAAAGAATAAATTGAGTTTGTATAGGCATTTTGGATGCCGCTATTGAAATCGCCTTTCTAGCGATATTTTCTGGAACACCTCCCATTTCATAAAGTATTTTGCCGGGTTTAACAACAGCTACCCAATATTCGGGCGATCCTTTTTCCGAACCCATACGCGTTTCGGTAGGTCTTACTATAACAGATTTGTCTGGAAATATGCGTACCCATATTTGTCCACCCCGGCGAACATTTCGTGACATTGCCCGTCGACCCGCTTCTAGTTGTCTAGATGTGATCCAAGCGGGCACTTTTATGTCATTTTTATCATTGAAGGACTTTTTGAGCATCTAAAAAAATTGCAAAACCTAACTTTGATTTGTATATAATAGTGAGATCGAGAATGAAAAAGGCAGATAGCAGTTGGGGATTTAAAACGAAACCCATTTTTTTTCATCCACAAAAGCTCACTTCACCACTTTCCAATTTCTTCAACCTTTGAAATTTCGCCGTTAACCCAAATACATCCGCCTCTCACCTTACTTAATCACCATCTTCATCAAACGTAAACTCTCAGTCTCTCAACATTCGTCTTTCATACCGTCACAGTCCGATACAACATCCTTCAACATTAGTCCCGCCGCTCTGAGCTATCGCCTCGCGGCCTTCTTCTCTCTGCAACAAATTTCCGTAACCACCTTAAGTTGACATAGTCAAGCCTCACATCTTTCGTTCACACTTTCAGTTCAGCAACAAGGTTTCTCCGCATCCGCCTCTGTCACGTACAACCTTCCTTTGCTACTGCTATCGCCTCATCTATCATCACCTTCAAATCGTAGATTCTACACCAACAATTCTTCCTCCCTATTCCATGCGTAAGCACCATCCCATTTTTCCATCCGGATTCCATGAAACCACTGATTCAACATAAACAGTATCCTCCCTTCATCCAATCTCACAACCTCTTCCCTTCCGCGAAGTTCTCCACAAACCATCAAATCCCTCCTTTATCAAATAGTCGCACATCTAACATCATGACCTCCGTCAACAACCAGCGGCCATCCATTAGAAACAGTGTTACTCCCTATGCCTCTCATCCAAACGCAACTTCATCATAACTCATTCGCATTTGTTCGGTAAGATTTCGACGAATCTTGTTTCTCTGTTTTATACATTTTTGTGTTGACTTACTCTGTTTGAAATTCAGATGAAAAGAGTAATAGCTTGTAATATGAATCGAATTAATTTGTTTGAGTTTGAAATTGCCTTTGAATTGTGTTTGAATTCTAATGTCAGTATCATTTTTGTCTGTGCTGGGGACTGAGCAGAGATTTGCTATAATGTTGGTTTTGAATTTGAATTTTGAATTTGCTTGGTTTTGTATTGTTTACTAGAATCAAATCTGAGTTGAGAAGCTATGATATACGTCGTTGCCATAATGTTTGTGTTTGAATCTGAAGATTGAAGTTTGGTTTTGTGGTTTAACTTGAATCGAGTCTTAATTTTGAGGTTATATTTTGATAATGTTTATTCTCGTTATAATCCCATTTGAAGTCGTGACTCATATTTAAGTTGATGGAAGTTTTAATATCGATGGCGTGCCGGTTGTGTTAACTTATGATAATCATTGATGTTGGTGTGTGATCTGTTTGTTAGTGTTAAAATCATATGTGTTAATTTTTTATGTCGATTTTGTTTACTTGGACCGATTTCAAATGTTTATGATGGTGGTACAAATTTCTTGGTATTACTCCCGAGTTGAATATTAGTTTGTGGCATGCTTGTGTGTTTCTTTTTTAAAGAAGATGCGAATAGTATTTTAGTGACAATTCGAGTTTGAATTCAAGAGTTAATTCGGATGGCATTACTGTGCTATTTCCTTTTGCGCTAAACATGTTTGAGATTGAATTTTAAAGCTTTGTTTCATGTGCATAGTTGCTGCCCGGATTTGATTTGAAGGTTTAAAGCTCATTTTGAACTTGATTTTTCATATTGCAATGTGAATCTCAACTTCTTGTTTCATTTTGTGAATTGATGACCATGTACAACGTTGCGTTTACTTGAGTTTAAATGCATTTAGAACATTGTATGTCATGTTGATTTTTGCTTGAGAAATGTTCATTTGTTCATGTACATCATGCAAGTTTCATTTCGATTTTATACCTTGTGATTACTAATACATATTCTAATTATTGCAATTTCATTTGGTTTCATTTTTATCCCTCTTATACTACTAACGAGTTTGTTATTGTGAAGGTTTCCAAGAATTATTTCAAGCATTCATTCTCGCATAGCGCATCTATAATTTTTCTTCATTTACCATTTTTATTGTATTTATTTTACTATTTTGGTTAATATTTAGTGTAAATATATAATTGTGCATAATACTTTTGATTTTATATTTTATTCAATTCACTTGTAAATAAATTCAAATTATGTTGATGTTCTTTTCATTGCATTGCGATTTTAAACTTTAATTCAAGTTAACTTTTGAAAATCGTATGGACGCATATATTTTTGCCCGACCACTTAGAGTTGATTCCTACATGAATCTATTCTAAATATATACTTAATAAAGTGAAATATTCAGTAATTTACACTTGAGCATTATTCAGACTTTGGATTGTATCCTTGTATTGTTGGATTCGTCTGTGTGTTTCATGTGATGCAGGAGTTATTATCCAATATCTCGAACCTTATCCAATATCATGAGCTTTATTCGTCGCCTTTGTGCTTTATCTGATTCCTCTCAGGTTCATCCACGTTTTCTTCGTTTGTGATTTATTTTCACGTGTTGCGCTCCTCGCTTATGACTCGATATGCTTTATTCGATGTTTGGAGTATTATCTAATATTTGAGTTTCTTTGATGTTGTCGGCTTGTGATTTATTTTCACCTGAGGTTTGGTATACTCTTAGCTTATTTATCTGTCTTTCGCTTTAAACCCAAAGGGATGAGGACGCTGTATTGACTTTATCATGTCAAGTACTGGTTTCTTATTCAGTCAGATCCTCTTTACCTTATCTTTTACCCTCCTGTACATAGGATATCCTCTTCATCTTCTCCCATTCTTTAATTTTCAAAAACCTTCTCATCTTTTTTTCTTTCAAAATCTTCTTTGTTTATAAACTCGAACCATTTTCACTCATAAAATATACTCCAATGAAAAATTGATGAAAGAAACCCTAACTTTACTTTTTCTATATCTTTCATTTTCCCTTTTATAAACCTTTTGAAACGTTCCAGCACACACCATTCTCTCTCCCACCTTAAACCCTAATATTATTTATTTAATTTAATTTGGTAATCGAATTCTTGAACATGTTCTTGTTCTCTCAAATATGAGAAATCCAAAATCTAATCTTTCTCTCGCATCTCATATAAACAGTTGGCCCACTCTTCCTTTTATACCCTATTTGAATAGAGTCTATGAAACTTCACAAATTCATAATATAGATCATCATCAATTCTTGATTTATATTTAAAGATTGAACGTGGTTTCAAAGATACTTAGCAAGTTTTGATCGTATTTTTCTATTTTCTTGTTATATGTTTCATTTTGGGATTTAGGTTTTTTTTTTCTTTTCATTTTGATGACCATGAATTCATTTACTAATGTCGTTTATTTTGATTTTAGAATTTATGTTTCCTTTTGTTTTATCGCCAATAACCAAATTATTGATTGTGTTAAATACCAAGCTTGACTACAAAGAATTATCATTCTAACTTCAATATTTGTCGCTTATTACCACCGTTGATGTCGCTAGTATTCCACTATTTCTCTTCCGTTGTTTGTCTTTGTTTTGTTTTAACATATTTAATCATACACGAGACACCAAACAAAATGTAAAAAATCATACCTTTTGTTTCTAACTACATTTGTTTCTGACCAGTGGTCCTTCTGTTAGGACTGTTTGGGTATCAAATCTTTTTTGTTCAAGTGTAATGATATTTTAGTTGACAATTTTGCTCAAACCTCGAGGCATGATTTTAGAGAGAAAAATTTCTTAAATTTAGTGGTTTATTGTTCATACTATTTTATATCTTTTACTTTTCTTAATAAGAAGAATTCATATGAAATGAAAGAGTAAAGTGTACAATACTTAACTCTTTAGTAAAGCTAGAATAAAAAGAATAGAGAAAAGTAAAATACTTAACTCTTTATAACAACGACTGTCCCCTTGCAAGTCTAAAGAGTACAAACAAGTTTTTACTTTTTATGATTCTATTTTTAAAGGTCATGATCATTGTAGTTTCATTATTCTTGTATTTGTTTTTCATTTTTTTTTTCAATATTAAAATATATCAGCTAGTTAATGAAGTGGAACAAGATGAAGATGGTATGACTGGAGAAACATTTACAGATTATGTGAGTTAAAGACACCCAAGGTTTATTGTCATGCAGTGACCAACAAAGATATTTATCAGACCTCCACACCCATATCCGATTGTAGAGACATATTCTTTGTCTACTGTGCAGCCACTTGAGCCTACTTATGATCCAAAGATTAAGAATTATTTGGAATGTTAAAAACTTTGTTATGCTTGCAGATTGAGACTTTGGTTTATGCTTGTCAAGTTGAAACTAATTTTTTGCTTTTAGATAGAAATTAAGATGATCCAATTTTGAGAAAGTTGAAGGGTAGAATGCCAAGAATCTTTGTGTCAAGATACTTTATGCTAAATTATTTAATTTTGTAAACAAATATGTCTTCAACATGATTTATTTGATTACCTATTTCTAGTGGATTTTTGTTTTTTTGTTTATCTTGTGTTGAAAATTCTATTTTGGATATTTTATGGCTATCAATTTGTTGAAATTTGGATGATTTATTTGGTTAGCCAAAACAATGATGATGAAACAAATATCTTTAACATGTTCAAAAAAACCCCTCCAGTTGCATTTTTTTTACACATTACCAACTATTTGCAGGGGTTTTAACCTAACAAAACTCCTCTAGTTTAAACATGATATTAGTTTTTTAATGGATATGATGACTCGGTTTTTTAACAATTGCATTATTATCATGTCAAGTATGCAGAAGTTAACATTTTTTCCCACAAAATTTAACATAAGAGACAAATTAGACTAATATAATAATTTTTAAGGGACTAATATGTAATATTTATTAGATAATGGACTAAAGTGAAATTTGAAATTAAGTTAAGGACTTTGTCACTAATTAGGTTTATATTAAAATTAAATGAGTCAAACAAATAGAGATAGATCAAGACCTAGAAAAATTATAAGACTATGTTTGAATTGATGAAATAAAATGACATGAGATGGAATGAAATTGTATATATTTATATTCTATTGTTTGAATTCATTAAAAAAGGATGAAATAATGCAGAATACGATGAAATGCATTTTATTATTTTTTTATTATTTTTTATACCCTCCAATTGAGGTCAAATGACAAAAGCGATATATTTCATTCTGAAATACTTAAATAATAGAATATCATTTTTATTTCATTTCACTTTGTTCAGTTTCATTCTACTTAACTTCATTTTATTTCACTTTGTTTTGCAATATGTAAATATAGTCAATGTAAAGTTATTAATTTTTTATTTTTAGATTAACGATTTTGATAAAAACATAATATTAGATAGAACATTATAGAAGAAGTTGTTTCATGTAGGTAACACATATAAGGTTTGCTTGTTGTTGGTAGTTGTGGTTATCTTAAGGAATACTAACTTGTAATAAGAAAATTTTGTTGGAAATCCACCAAAACCTATAATGAATTTTTTATCAATCTTGATAAACAAGATTGTTATCACCATACAATGACAAGAAAAAATTAAAGAAGAAAAAAGATTTAGGATTTCTGTAGAGTTTCTCTCTGCACACAAACTGTGGAAAACTTCTTTATTCACTTGCAACTGCAAATACTGTGAATGAATGAAATTATAAAAATATGAGTTACTCCCTCTATTTATAGTTGAGCTTGCTTCAAAACTCTAAAAGCTCAAAATACCTATTTTGGAACTAAATCAAATCTAAATCAAATTTGTGTGTAGCAACTACTTCGACACACCTAACACAACTTGACATACTAAAATTATTCGACACACCTTGTGCCAAGCAACAACCTTCTTCGACACAAAGAATT